GGAAAATTACAAGGAATTTGATTTTACCCTGAGAAATAATTTTCATAAATATATTTAAAACTCGAAAATACTTATCTATTTTTTAATCTCAAATTTGGCTTTAACATTAACTTTTCTCATTTTGTTCCTTTTTCTTTAGTCTTATCCAGCAAGATTGCAATACAAAATAATTTATATCTACATGATTTTATATCTATTCCTTCAATCACATAATGATCCAACCTTTGATGGTTTAATCCCTGCATTTACATTTGCCTTTCCAAACCATAAATTCTTTTAGGGGTTTTAGAATCACTTTAGTTGTGTTCCCATGTCATTGAAGACTTCTGGTTAATCACGCCTGAGGTTCTTTAAGATTTTCGTGAAGCACCTTTAATGTTTCTAGAGAGAAGAGAAAATATATGAATCTGCACAGTCATCTGTTTGTCAGAAAAAGCTGTGGATGCAAATCTCTGGATTTCTCTGAAAGTAATTTTTCTCTTCGTTCACTCTTTGTTCTTTAAATGGAAAAATGCTCTTGATTTTTTAGGGAAGAATATGGTAATATGTATGTCTTATTTCCAGATAGCACAATATCCTGAAGGATGGTTACCTTGCAGCTCAGGAAACTGGGTTTTCTTGATGTGAAAATGGACTATAAGCGTTCTTTCCCCCAAACAAGGGCTCAATTCTAAATGAAGTCAGCGAATGTTCACTTCATTCCTTGGCGCGTAATGTAGCACTCTACTAGTTAACAGAACTTTTCTTCTTCGTTTGCTCTTTTTTCTTAGTTCATGTGTTTCAGATCTGATTGAACCACCTACGACTCTTTGAAGTCAAAGGAAGTTCAGAACCCACAGACACTCTAATGGCTGAGGCAGAGATTCTCAAAATAAATGAGACGAATGAAAATGTTGAACCTTTTAAATATCTTGCCCTACAGCTATATGTAAATAAATCAACAAGTGTGTGACTGGAGATAAAAAATATAAAACTAGAAGAGATTCTCACAGTTGACCTTGTGTGCACTAAGGAGTGGAAAAAGCTCATACATCACCATGACAATGACCCTGTCTGATACGGTCGAGCCAGCTTTGAATCAGATAACTAAGAGATCAAAGGCATAAAGCCTAACCTTGAACTTACCACTTGTTTGGTTTTTGTCATCCTGACAGTAGAATATTGGAAAAATGGGTTTTGTTTTGATTTTTACCTTTAAAGATTCTGCTCCAGGAATGTTAACACTCATGGTTTTAACAAATTTATCATATCCTCATGGTACATGATAACTAATTAAAATCATTCTATACATTATACTACTGCATGCTGACCACAAATGCATCTATCCAACTACTGCTTAATTCTGTGAAATTTTTTCATTACTTCCAGAGTAAGAAAATAGCTCAATATGCAACGTCTATATATATAGGCATATATATATAATCTTAGCCAACAGAGAGGCTCCTTTCTATTGATATTGATACCTGGAAAGAAAATAAGCCATCTTATGTTATTTATGTGCATAGTATCTTACCAAACCAGAACAGAGTGTGCATAGATTTATAGCTAAAATGTCAAGCACACATACTTCTCCACATTTATTAGCATTTACTTTCACATATTAAGATTATTTAAATGATCATGAAGACATACTTCACACATACTAGACATAACTTTCTGTTTAAAATAGTTACCTGGCTATAAAATCCTCAGGTTAACTATGTATCAGGCAAACTTAAAATACTGCTACAAGAATGAAGAGATGAAATGTAAACTTATCATTATAAAGGGTTTCCCATGTTTAAAATCTTACCCTAGCCCAATTTGAAAACCTCCCATTCTAAATGAGGTTTTGCTGAATCCATTCTTGTTTAAATTTAGATTTAATAATAACAAAATGCTTTACGTTTAATAGCCTCTCTTGTTTTCTAGACTAAAGATCAAGGCTTGAAACCTGGAGTCCTGACACAAGTATACTTATACACTTATGCACAATAATAGCTAGGCCGGTATTAACCATTTGGTTTCTCAAATGGGGGAATTTTTCTCATAAATTAAAGAATAGACTAGCCTTCCTTGTATTTTCCATGTAGTGAGGCACATGTTATTTTGATTTAAGCTGTGTATTATTTGAATTCAGTTGTGAAATATATAAACACTGCCAAGGACACAGGAGCCAAGCCAGTCAAGGGAATTAGTGATCACACTAGCATATGGCAACTTCTAATTCAGATAAATTCGATTTTTTTAGCATTAAAGCAGACGTCATAATGAGTATTTTTAACCTATTCAATTAGGTTTAACTTACTCAATAACATGGGGAGTTTTTACATTAAAATTTTTTATCAAATAATGAATGAGTTTGAGCTCTTTCTTCAATTAAACAAAATGGCTTGATGTCAAGAATCTATTTCAAGTTTAATAAAACTGCTGAAATTCTACTTATTTTGAAATAATTTTCTTTTGCTTTGTGGTTTTATAATAAAAATGATATAGTAATGAAATGAATGGTTCAAAGGACAATGAATGCTGAAATCCTGACTCATTGCTGTTCACATTTTTGTTCATAATTGCAGAGATCTGGAGCAAACAGATACACATTTGCCAATAGCAGTCACCATGGTCAATATGAATTCACAACGTGTTTCTTTTCTAGTTTATCTTAAATTCTCTCAGTGCCTCTTTTGTGGTGGCAAGGGGGATAATATTTTGCATAAAACTCTATGGATGATATACATACAAAATTACTAATACTATCATATAGACAAGGAAACAAAAGCTCAGACATTTTCAATTAGTAAATCATGAGAGCAGAACGCTAGCAGAAAACATCATAGTCAGAGCTATAGACTAATGCTTTGGACTGCCTTGTTCTTTACAAAGAAAGGAAGCCTGGTGGTGCAGTGCTTGAACACTTGGCTGCTAACCAAGAGGTTGGTGAGTCAAACTCAGTAGCCATCCTACGAGAGAAAGATGGAGTAGGCTGCTTCTCTTTAAAAAAAAAAAAAAAAGCAACAGTCTTGAAAATTCTATGGGGCAATTCTACTTTCCTATAAGGTTACTGTGGGTTGGAGTTAAGTCAATGGATATGGGTTTCGTTCTGGATCTGTATGTTACAATCTCATAATCTATTCGTAGATGTTAGATCTGTTTTAAAGCAAATATTTTTGAACCAAACCAAACAGAAAACTGTCTACTAGCATCAGGAGAGTTGTTTATTCTTTATTGCTATGAAGAATCCCAATGGTCTTAACACTGAGGCACAAAGTTCTCTTTCGTAGGTACCAAGCAATACAGTTTTCAGGACCTGTACCGTCATGTCTGAGCATGACGGTATGTTCGGTTAATTTGTTTTTAGTAACCTTTATATACATTGTGCCCTCCTGTTAGGCATTAAGTTTTTTCATTAAAGATAAATTAGAAGCCTGTCCACTACAATGGAAACCACGGCTGTGCGGTTTGGTGGGCTAACACTAAGCCTGGTACAAAGCATTCCGAAGTCTACCTGTCTGTGCTACCTTTCATCAACTGAAACGAGAAGACACCAGGCTTGATATCCACCTCAAATCCTTGCTCGTCCATTTTTTAATGGGGCAATAGTGTGTAATTTACTTGAAAACTATAACTGTATGAAAAAAAAATGGCAGTAGGGATTCCTATACTGTGCTAAACATTAGAACTGACTGGAGAGCTATGGAAAAGCTCAAATGCCCAAGTTGTGCTCCATGATTGACGAAGTCCAAGTGTTTGTGCATGGAAACAAATCATAACTATTGTTCCAAGATGCTCAGAAATATGGGAAAAGTTATAGGAAAGTTCGGGAGACACTGCCTTTATATCATTAAAGAGCTGTTCTAAGATGGAAAAAGAGTAGGAGGGAAGGGCTCTGCATATTTCATAATACTTTAGAGAGCGATATAAAACATTGCCCTAAAACTAAGCACCAAACTACTGCCTGAGAGTCAATTCTGACTCATAGTGACCCTACTTTCTGAGATGATAAACCTTTATGGGTTGAAAGAGCCTCCTCATTCTCTGGCAAGAGAGCTGATGGGTGTGAGCTTACAGCTAGCAGTCCAATGCCTAGCCCACAGCACCCCCAGGTTTCCCTAAAGAGAAGTATAAACGCCAAAAGCCCGCTTCCATTGGCTCAGTTCTACGAAGAGTCCAATGAAAGACAAAAGCAAAACAAACGAAAACCAAAGCATTCTTCTAGGGAGGTGTTCTTAATACAAACAGAAATTATACATTATCATTTTAATTTTTCTTCCAGCATTACTGAACCATTTAATGCCTTTTAAAAAGTTGTCTTCAACATTATTTCAATGATGTACTGTTCCCTCTTCTAAGAATTAAGATTCAAATGCCTATTTTATAAATGTCAAAACTATACTTTTATTTTTGCTCGAAACAATTATTTATTATGTATTTCTCAAGAATAATTATGCTTACTTACAACTTTTAAAACTAACTTGTAGCCAAGAAAATATATTAAAATTCATATGTAGAAAATAAATTTGAGCAGTCAGAAATAAAATGCTGTATTCTCGTTTTTCCATTTAGTATTAATGCTTATTTTTTTTAAAAGGAAAAAACAGAATTATGCACTAAATATTTTAGCCCAATAATCTGCCATATTATATATATATATATATATATATATTTAAATACAGAATTGTTGAGGTAATTATTCTTGATGAGGTTTTGTTCATTACCTAAAAATTCAAGTTCTTTCTCTGCCAAATTTTTAATCAATACATCAGATTCAGCCAATTTACACACAGGGCTTTTGTTATTTGAATACCATCAGTTTCCACAATCTTTTGTTTAATTAGACTTACTAAAACAATGTAAAATTTATGTAATAAGAATACCAATGGCAGGTTACCTAATTTACAGAGTAACCCTCTGTGGCTGTATTATTATACGACAGACCTTGATGCATCTATTCTCAGTCAAATCCACAAATTCACCTTGATGTAGCTGTCTCCTAACAATGACTTTGCTTTGGGGTCATCTACCTTTGTGGGCTTGTTAACTTCCAAGCTCTCCTTGAATTTCTCCTGCATGGTTTCTGCAAGCTGACAGAGCAAGGCACCATTATCCAACTTTTCCATAAACGTTTCTGCCGTAATCTCCTTCCCTGCAAAAACAAAAAAGAACCAATAGAAACTTTTAAAAGTTCTCCAACACAAAAGTTACTCCAAAACAACAACAACAACAACAACCCAATTCACTGCATTGAGTCCTTGCTGACTCACGGTGACTGCCTGTGGGTTTCTGAGCGGGTCAATGTTTGTGGGAGGAAAAAACCCAGTCTCTCTCCTGTGGAGCTGCTGTTGGTTATGAACTACCAACCATGTGTATCACAGCCCAACGTGTAACCACTACACCACCAGGGCTCCTGCAACACAAAAGTTAAGGTCACTAAATAACATATTTGAGAACTTTTTTGGGGTGGGCGGGTCACTAAAATGTAAATGCCAGATGAGTTAAGAATCTAGTGCTAGAACTAAGGAATATGCTTTCTTTGAAACTTTATACTTACTGTTGTTAGCAAGAATACTTTTTCAACAATCAGCATTTATATAATATCATTCTATCAGCCTAGAAGTTTCATTTCATTTAAAGGCGGCCAAATTATATCCTGTACCAGAGTCCTACGATGATTGCGCAATCCGTGGAATGAAAGTCAAAGCCGTCAATGAAAGAATTCAACTCAGACCTACCAAATGTAGGGGTTCTGAAGCTGCAAACCTTTGTTGGAGCGGGGAGTCTCACTTTTGTCTCTTGGAGTTGCTGGTAGGTTTGAACCAGCACCTTGGCAGTTAGCAGTCCAATACTTATTCCACAGTGCCAAGATCCTGAGGGGCCCTTTCAATTACTTGGACCAACAAAAACCCAAACCAAAGTCACTGCCATCAAGTTGATGCTGACTTACAGTGGCTCTGTAGGAAGGGGTAGAACTTGACTTGTGAGTTTCCAAGACAGTAACTTTATGATCGAACACCCAGTCTTTCTCCTCAGGACCTACTGGGGTTCCCAACTGCTGACCTTGCAGCCCAATGCGCAACCACTCGCCACCAGGATTTCTTTGACCAGCCAAGAAGGGCATACAGTGGAACTGGTGTAATGAAGGCCCGTTCCTCTCCCTACAAGGGTCCTTGAGCTATGTGGAATTCTCAGGTTCAGATCTCTGTTCTTTTGGTCACAAAACTATCCTCAAAGCTTCAACCACAACTCTCAGGACTCTGATTCACAATGACCAGTCCCTGACTTGTAACTGCTTCCCAGATACAGGCAGTTTTCTTTCTTTCTAAAACGCCCTTTCCCATGAGTGTTCCCTCTTTTCCTTCTTTTAGTCCCTTTACCCTCCCGTCGCTCTCTTTCCCTCCCTTCTAACAGCTTTATTGACATATCATCCGCATGCCACACAATTCACCCGTTAAAGTGTATCACTCAGGGAGATTTAGGATGTTCACAGCTCTGCTGCCATCACCGCAGCTGACTTTATAGCATTCTCATCCCATCAAAAAGAAGAACCCCATAGCTTCTAACTGCCATTTTATTCCCCACCCCTTCTAGCCTGGGAAAAATGTCATTCTTTTTCTTTTAATAGCAGGGATTAATACATCTATCGAACCATTCCCCCGTTCAATCATGTCCAGCAGAATTGTACATTTGCTACCACAATCAGTTTCCAAACATTCTTTTTCTATATGGACCTCTTGACGTCAGCACGCCTTCATCCTGCCACCCCTTCTCTATGCCCCTCCCCCTAAAACCCTTACTCCACTTGCTGATGCTATCAATTAATCAGCCCCAGTTTGCATACCTCCAAAACAAAACAAAAATTCTAATATCCTCCAAAGCTCTCTTTTCTTATAATTGTTGAAGTCATAGAACGTTTAATTTCTTCCTTTTATTTTCTGTGGACTTAAGTTTTATAGATTCAGGAATCATTCTGTTTCTGCGCCATAGTGGCCACTGCCTGGTAGCTAAGCATTTAGCAGCAAGAACACTGGGAATTGCTCTCCCACACCCCTGTCTCTTCCCAAAGTGTACCCTGATTACTGCTAAAATTAATATTCCTAATCACTCTCCTCAGGAGTCTTGATGGCACTGTGGGCTAAACATTGGACTGCGAACTACAAATCCATGGTTCAAATCCACCAACGGCTGCAAAAGAGACGATCTAACGCTGTCTGCTCTGCTCTCATCACGTTGCAGTCTCAGGAACCAAAAGGAACAGTTTCATGCTGTCCTATCGGTCTGGGGTTACTATGATGGCTTCACGGCAGTGGGTTTTTGGTTTTAAACGCGACCCTCTTTGGGTCAGCATCCACCCAGGAGCCTTTAACATCAAGTTCTTAACATTTCTCTACCTAAAAAAATTAATCTATCCACTATAACCCACTAAAGCTCCCCGTTTGCATCTAAGCTACTTTCCAAAATATCTTCCTCACATGACACTGCTACTGCTCTGTGCTCTGCCTTCCTGGAGCAGCTTCGAACTGTTTCTACTGCCCTGCTTCGGTTTCTGTCATGTCTCTCACACGATGCGCTCCCAGCAATTCTGTGCCTGACCAAACTCTGCCTTTTGAGTTTTAAAATCGAAGTTTCAAACAACAACTCTCCCCATCGACAACGGTCTCTTTTCTGTACAACTGGACTCATGCTATCCCTCGTTTTGGCCATTAGCAAACATTTTCTTCTCTCACTGGTCACATGTTTTGCATAAAGTCTTTTTTCCTGAGTATACTGTGAAGAAGTGGACATGGATCTTTTTTCTATAATATTCTTGTACAGTGGCAAGCATCATATGCCCCGTAGTAAATGTGTCTAATGGATATTGAATTAGAATATATTTTCTGAAAGACTTTAAGTCAAAAGCATAAAAAGAAAACACACAGATGAATGAACACAAAAACAAAACAAAGAGCAAGAAAGAAGTCTGTTCAAGTTTCGTCTTCTGAGCCTCTGGGTCAATGACCTTTCATCTTTAGAAAATTGCAGGCGACTCAATTCCAAGTCGATTTAAAATGTATCATACTGGACCAACAATTTCCTTAATGATAAACAATAAACTCCAAAGAACTATAAATTATTAAAATTAAACAGCTTGCATTAAAAATTCATTAGCAGTTTACCAGAATGTATGCTTTTTAATTTTTACTTCTCATACTTTAAGAATTTAATTTATCCTGTTTTTATGGTGAATACTTGAAGAAACAATTTTACATCGAACATCTGTATCTAATGAAAAATATATTAGGTGTCAACTTTCAATACTATATATTTTATAGCTTAAAAGGTGGGATTTTTTTTTTTTTGCTAATGCAGACACTGTTACATATTTTATAACTGAAATGTACTGTTTCAAGTGAAGAAATTGCCAGACAGAATGTTTTAAATCCTTCATATGTAATGTATTTTCCATCCAACGATTAAGAATAATAAAGCATATCAGCATTTTAAATATAGTGTGTGATTATAAGAAACCAGTTATAACCATTATACGTGATGATATACTCTTTCACTCTTTATTGCATTGATATGTCAATAATTCTTCAAAAGACAAAAAATAGAATATACAACTATTCAAATCTAATTATCAGACAAACCCTTAAGAATGAACTGTGAAGAAATAATTACAATTTCTCAAGAACAAGCTATACAAAGCTAAATAACTCTAATAAAAGAATTCAGATTATGGCGACAAAGGACCATGTCTTCTCCGGTCCCATCCTTTCCAGGCTAAGGACTCCAAATAACTGCCATCAAGTCACTGCTGACTCCCAGCCACCCACTGTGGGTTTCTGAGACTGTAACAAGCCCAGTCTTTCTTCCACAGAGCTGAGGTGGCTTCAAACTGCTGACCATGTGGGTCATAGCCCAAGTCATAATCCCTATGCTATCAGGGCTCTTTAGATAGTATATAATTAAACCATCTTGATATATCAACCTCCTCAAAATAACTTACTGCCATGATTCAAATCCAACTCAGATAGACTCTATGAAACAGAGTAGAACAGGTCCTCTGGGTTTCTGAGAGTCTTTCCTAGAGCAGAAAACCTCATCTTCTCCCAGCTGCTACTTCACCAGAGCGTCTCATCAACCCACAGGGTGTTGAAAGAATACCGGCAGGAAGACTTGTTCTAGTCCATAAGTAAGGGCTTTGCTTCCTGGGTTTAGAATTGCAGGCTTCGGTCTTTACCCCGTCACCTTACTTATCCCTGACAGCCTGCCAGTGGAAAAAGATCAGTGACTTTGATGACATATTATCGGTAGTCACTTCTCCTTCAAATATTGGGCACTACAATACAGCATCTCCATGAGTCACCTTCAACTTAACTGCAACTAACAACAAGGACATGAAATAAAGACCAGCCTGGAATGTTGTCATGTAGCCCACATCAACATGCATGACTGTATTCACTAGCGCAGGGGTTGGCAAGCCTTTGAGATGGAAGAGCCAATCCTGCCCCTCACAAGAGTGGAAAAATTATTTGAGCAACATAAATATGTTTTCACAAACAAATGAAATCACCAATATCAGAAGAATATTCTTTAAAGTTTCTCCAGTGTTCCTTCAGAGCCCCATATCCACGTACTGAAAAACCAGTCATGGGTGATAAGCCACAGTCTGCTGACCCTGCTCTAGAGTGTTTTTCCCGGACGTGTTTGTTTGTCACGATTTCAAAAAAATCATTAAGGATTCATCTGCAAAGTATTGGACACTAGAGCCTTTTGAACAAAATGATTCATTTCGCCCTCTATCTTGTTGGGATAAAATTTCTCCTCCCAGTAAATTACCATAATTGAAGTTAGGTCCCTAAAATATGGCCATATCTACCATAATATTTGAAATATGAGCTCTGGCATTGTTAGGCGCTGTTCTGTGTACATTACATACACTTAATTTCACAAACACGTGAATGGGGTGACAATGGAAGTGTATAAAGCTAATAATTTGTCTAACACATAGAGTTAACACCTAGAGAGATTTGGTTTATTAACTCTGGAAATCTAGGTTCAGAGTCTACATTATGAACCACTGTGGTTCAGTATTTCAGTAAAGTTTAATGAATGCTTGAGTGACAATTGTTCCATAAAAATGTCTTCTCTCTTTTACACTTGCCTTTTTCTTTGTATAAACTCCCAAGAAAGGTTTTCAGGCAAAGAGCAAAGAGCTCCTGGGGGCTGAAAAATTAATAGCTGTACACTTTCTAGACTGTGGAATGACTCAGAATGCCACATGGCATGTTCTAGAACTTCACTTGACTCACTGAATAAGAAAGCTTGGGTGCTTGTATCACTACAGGTGAACCAAATTCTACCAAATTGTGCTCCTATCTCCACTGCACCCCTCAATTTCAATGTTCCTTCATAATTGGAGAACTGGAAACAACGCATTTGCTATCTTAGCCCAGAGTGTTAGGTAACTTGAAATAGAAGTTTGAAGTTTGTTAAGTAGGAGATGATTCATGAGAGCTATAAATCCCAGGTCAGCACCTACTTCACAGTGCTTCACCTGCATCCACGCTGCATTTATATTAAGAAAAGACAAAACTGTTTCTGTTGACAGTCTTGGTATTATATTAGGTGCTAACTGTTCTGAAAGATGTCAGCTTGTGAACATGAACGAGATTCCTTGAATGTTGGACCTCGCACGAGATGCTACTGTTCCCAAGGGATATTTATTGAGCATGGCAAGAGGATAAGAGCGCTGTAGGATAAGTGTCCATTCAAAGGACTTCAATAAGAAACAAAATGTCACTGCAGCAATTCCAAATGGGTTGCTTTCTTTCATGCTTAATGTTTTATGTTTAATGTTTTCATGCTTAACATTTTGATGTTGAAAGTTTGTTATTTTTAGAAAGTATTGAAACATTGGATGTATTATGTATGAACAATTGACATTTTCTTTCATTTCCATGTAGGATGGTCAGAAAAACAAAAATCACCGTGATGTCAGCTGCCATAATACAATGTATTAACCTCATAAAAATAAAAATTAATTTAGCATAATTTGATTTGTAATGCATGTCATGATGTACTCAAAGTCCACTTGATGTCTATTATCAATAGACTTCATACAAACTAAATAAAATACAAGATGACCCATTCTTTTATTTCAGTATTCTTTGAGTTCTGTTTTGCAAAAATGTCTCAAGGCATCAAGATCATTTGTATCATGAACTACACGCATTAAAAAAAATTCCTCTTATTCTCCAAAAGAGAAGTCATTCATTTCATAAGCCATCTTCTCCTTGTTTGTGATATTGATCACCTCAATTGCCCTAAACTGAGGTTCATGGAAACTTAGACTTTTGAGATCTGGAAAGGACATTAGAGATCATGTGCTCCAACCCCCTCATTTTATGGTTGAGGACACTAAGCCCAGAAAAGATAGCTGTGTGACTTTAGGCAACTTTCCTACCAAGTGCCTGAGCCAGGACCAGAAGCCAGGTCTCCTGATGGCCAGTTAAGAGCCAGATCTTCTGACTTTTTGTCCAAGGATCTTTCCATGACACACACTGGCTCTATTCTTTGAGGCTATCTTGGGCTTCTCACACCGATCAAGCTGCTTGAAAATGATCACATTCAGCAAATGAAATGCCTTTGATGGCAAGTCATGGGACCTCGGAGCATGGCTGGATAAGCTGGCTCTATTCTAATTAAATCATGCTCTTTCCTTTCTTACAACATATCCATGCTGCTCATTGATAATAGTGTGAAGCATAAACTCTTTAGTATGGCCATTGAGGTAATAAATGATGTGAGCGCAACGAATCTCATCAATCTCTCCCCTTAATTCTTTACAGTTGGCTCCAGTCTTTATACAGTTCTTCCAGTATATCAAGCTCTGACCTACTTCAGCACGTGCTGTTCCTTCCACCCACAAGCGCTTCTCCCCTCATTGGTATGTCTATCCCTTAATCATACTTCTGCTCTGTTTAAATGTAAGACCCCTTTAGGCGAATTCCCTCTGAGCTTTGTATCCTCCCTGACCCATCAATTTTACAGTCTGATTGCAACTTATAAATTTTTGTGTCTATAACATGTCTGATAAATAAATGATCCCTTCAACTATTTCATCTGTTTCTGTGCCCATCTAGTCTAAGGTATATGAAAACAGCTACTGTGTCTACTCTCATGCACCACCCTACCCAGACTGTGTCTGGAACAGTAGAATCACAATCGATTTATTGATTGACTACTATGTGCCAGGTCTCATTCTAAAGGTAACAATATCATTTAAACTTCAGAATCCAATGTGGTTGGTACTGTTATCACACTTATTTTTCATATGAGAAATAAGGCATAGCATATTAAGGTACTTGACCAGTATCACATACTTGTTAAGTGGTAGAAAAGATATTTGAATCTTTAAGCACTCTGATTCCAGGATTCATTTTTAAAACCAATATATTATACTGCTGCACACTCAAATGTTTGTGGAATACATAAATGAATTTATGTACGAAAAATAGTTTAAAATAATACTGAACTATCTAAAAGGAAAAAGCTAAAAATAATGGCAAAAACATATTGTGTTTACTGCATACTAGACACTGTGAACTATACATATGCTAACCCTTTAATTCCATAGTAATCTACAGAGCAGGATTTTGAACTGAGTCTTCTAGTTATAGTCAAAGCAGCCTAACCAGAAAAGAACTGACTTTTTCAATTTGGGGATGCTGAAATGGTCACCGGAAGAGAAAAATCACAGGTGAAAGCTCTGCAGGAAACTCAGTGAGTTTCCTAGGAATTAAGGGTGGTGTCAGCGTTACATAGCAACCAGCCTCTTCCCCATCAGATGCCGAGCAGAGCAGGAAACAGCGGTCCTTGCTCAAAGAGGGGCAGCTCTCTGCGCCGTTCTGAACAGGCATCTCTCCGAGTCCAGCCGATAATCCAGCCTCACCCTGCAGCTCCACAGTGTCCCCTTCCTGGTCTTTGACCGCAAGTTTTCTCATTCTGCTCATCCCCGATGTGAGTGTGTTCCCACTTGGCTTTGTAAGCCACCACTGAACCACTCTGAGTGGCATCAAAGCTCTGCTATTATTAGAATCGCCTGTCATGAAAGATTCATCTGCACTTGACACTTTCATTTGTGTAATAGTCTTTATCTGAAGGTATTCCCCAATTAATAATGAATTGCTGGTTTAAATACCTGATGAAGGTGCAGCTGGTATAGCCACATGTTGAGGACTTGCCACAGTTTCCCAAATAGGGGAATTACAGTAGGAAGAACAGAAAACATCTAACCGTAGGATATAGGGTTAACAAAGCAATAAAAAATACACACACACACACACACACACACACACAAATCTGGAGTCTTTGGGAGGAAGGAAAACCTTGCTAAATTTACAGATGGATGGAGGCTTCTTCCTAAATGTTTCAGGAGAACATTTGCCTTTCACTCTCCAAATAAGAATACTAATAATGGGGGAAACCCTTCTGAAATTCAATACCAGGCACGTTGTGTGTCCATATTTCATTAACATTTGAATATTCATTTAGTCAATATTCAAACCTGATATATTAACTCTGCTTGAGTCTTTGCCTTGGGTCTTAAGTCCATTCTCTCCTGGGTAAAAATGACCGCTAGCGATAGCACCGTTGTACCTAACGACCCCTTGAACGTATGGCTCCATTACGCACCTGGTAGATGGTAGATCTCTTGTCCTGTGACTATGTTAGCACAAAACCCACAAACACAAAAGAGGCAACCTTAGCATGAGGCGGCATCTTTTTATCTCAAAAGTAATACGTGGGGAAGATAACTTAAAAACAGAAAAGAATGAAAAAGAACATTTTTAGCTCAAGGCTGGGTGAATCTAGTCAGCCCATTCGAACAAAGGCTGGATATTTTTGTCCCCAAGTTTGAGTATTCAGCAGTTTCAGAAGGTGTGTTACAAAAGTCGTGTGAAGAAATCTAGCTTTACAAGCTGGACTTCACAAAGTCCTGTGGCCTCTATGCAGAGGCAAGAGGATAGGACAAACTGGTCAATTGCAGGAAGAAAAGTAAACCATAACTTAGGGGAGCACATAGATAAACAACTTGACCGCGTACGTCTGCATTTCAAAGCATGTCATTAAAATCGCTAAGCACAATGAAGGTGAAAGATAGTTGGTTCAGGTTTCCCAGATGCAAAATCCAAATAATGAAAGTCTTTCTTTCTAAGGTGCTGTCACATGCTCAGGTGAAGGACACTACAGGAGAAAAAAAGCTGTTATCTTTGCTGACAAAATACGATCTTATAACCTTACCTAATAGATTGGTTAACCACAAGGCCAGATCTTCTTTCATCGGTAGCAAATTAGCTTCGTGTCTGCTGGCCAACCATTGGCTGTACTGATGCATATCAGAGAGGCCAGGCCCACCGCGTGCCTTTGGACTCAGAGCAGTGCACATTATTTATCCACTTGTAATACCTGTTTTGGAAACAGAAGAGCAATTGCTTTTTATACAAACCTCTTTTGTTAAAATTGTGCCACCAATGACTCAGTAATGACCCGGATCCACGGATGTTTTGATAACGGGTTAGATGATTAATTATTAAACCCACTGAAACACTATTTGCTTTATATGTCCCAGCCTTCATGCTTCTGGCCAACCAGCTGTGTGAAACTGTAGAAAACAACAACAGTCAAAGGTCAAATAAAAGAAACAGTGAGTTCTCAGCTTGTGTACTAGATTGTATTTGGAAAACATCCATTCCCAAGGCAAGATATTGTTCAGTTTGTCAAAGACAATTATAAGTGGCTAAATTACATGTTTAGGGTCTATTTTGCAAACACATTGTTTGAGTTAATTTTTGACAAATTTTCTACAGAATTGTGGTCCTGGCAATGACAATAAGCCACCTGGTCTTCTGGCTCGTGGTCTTCTGACTTCGAGTGAACACGTGACCATTAATTACCCTGAAGGCTATAATACATAAGGGTAAGGGCCGCACTCTGTTCTGGTTCTTCTCTAATGGTTAAGCAACCCGAGACTCACAATTTAATGAACGGAATGGGGGGAAGGCGAGGAGGTGAAGTCAAAGAGTCCCTACTACATTCTTTCCTTTTAGAGACAACAATGACAAGAACTAGATAGGATAAGTGACTTAGTCAAGTTATTATAGCTTATAGCAGAGTCAGACGTCACCCTGGGTCTTTTACCCTAAGATGACTATCATTTACAAATGATGCATTTTTACAACATAGATTCGGTAACAATCCAATATGATAATCCAAGCATTACACCAAAATCCTAACAATCATTGAAACGGGTCTTTTTTGACATGCATTGTGCCTTCTTTATCTATTGTTATTTCTCACACAATCTGTTTGTTTGATTTACTTGATTTTATTTGTAATCATCTTTAGAACCGAAGTAATTGAATGCTTAAATCTATAAAACAGGAACTGATTTTATTAACTTGATCATAAGTAGCCCTGACTCACTATATGGACATAGAAAAGGTATTCGAGTCTAGAATTAGCCTTGAGTGTAGGATTTTGTGTAGAATCTAAGACTACAAAAGTCATACTGAAATAACTATTATATTTTAACAAGATAAGAATCACTTGGGGGAATCTTATTAAAATGCATTTGACAGTACATAGAATTCTATTCTTTCCACAAAGGGTGTAAAAGAAATAACCAAATGCATTCTGACTGAATAAAATGAAAATAAAATATTTGCAACTAGGAAGAACAAGCATTTCTATAATATGAAATGTCAGCAGTATTTCAATAGCAGTACATTTAAAAAATACTTTTATTGGAGACTTTTACATCTCTTATAACAATCCATACATTCCTCCATTTGCACATATGCAGCCATCAACATTTTCAAAGAATTATCTTCCCACTTGAGCCTCTGATATCCCCTCCCCATTTCTTCCCCCTCCCTCCCCCACCCACCCTTCAATAGCAGTACATTAGAATGATCAAAATAGTCATACTTTTGAGAGGTTTTAGTCTTTAAAGTTATATACAATATTCCATTCTAGACAAACTCTAAACTTCTAATTCACATAACATAAGCTAATTTTGGTCCTTTAGAGACTGATTTTGGAAAACAAAATCAAGACCATAGAAATGCTTCAGAAAAGTTCATACTGTGACTGTCTCTCAAATATTTTTTTACCTGTAGCATTAGAAAAGACTGCCGGGAGTACATATAAATATCTAAAAGATGCCATAAATATGCCATTCAAAAGATATATATTTTCAATATAATTATCCTTTAGAGTAATTGAAAAAAAAGATTTACCACACATTTAATTTGAAAAATAGTTTCTATGAATCTATATATATATAAATCTCTAAAAGGCTTTTGTAAATATTTTCATATGGCTGAAAGGGAACAAATTCCCTACTTTTTGCTGCTGAACCGGATAGTTGTGTCATTCTTGTAAACAATATTCTAGTTCCAGGAAAGCATTAAAGCTCTCTGGAGCTGGTTTGGATTTCTATAAGCTAAGGAGTCTCAGAAACAAACATTGAAGGAGACCTTTGAACCGGTTCATTCAGGTTTACCTCCTGCTGAAATCTTGCCTTTCTACCCAAATATATTGAACCAGAATCTACATTTCAACAAGATAAGAATCACTTGGGGGGAATCTTATTAAAATACAGATCCTGATTCAGTATAGTTAGCAGGGATTGGGGTGGGGGTGGGCGTGGAAGTGCAACTTCCCAACGGAGGAGTGTACCCCAAGGGAACCAATTCAAAGTCCTGTATTTAAGTAATAATACATTTAAGCGCATAATTCATACATTTAAATAGCTAATTTAAATCTTAAAAGGGTTACCTCTAAAATGCCTTTCTTCTCAAGACACAATCTCTCCCACTACTTTCCTGAAAGTGAGATGGGGCAGTTCAGTAACTTTACCTTCACCCCATTATGTGCTCTGCAACTTCCATTTAAGCGTCAGAGTCCGATTTTGCTCTATAAAAGCAAGAAGACACCTCAGACTCTGAAGCGCATTGTCCAGCAAAGAATTCATCCCGGGATAGTTTACAGTAAGCCTAATGGCACGTACCAGTGTCAATGAGCCAGAGGGATACAATCCTTCCCCTTACTACTTCTAAACAGTGAAGTTCTTCTTTTACTGGACAGTGGCACATTTATTTCCCATGTATTCTGCCCTGTGTTTTGCCAGAAATGTAACTCAACACTCTCTTCTAACGTTTAGAGATGATCATGAAATAAAATACAATAAGAATAATTACGCAATCTTAAACTTTGCTACTTCATAGATAATCCCTTTGCATGGTCACTTCTGTTGGGAGCGTTATATTTCCCAAGGACGTAAAAGCTCCTGGGCAACCAACAGGCCATAGAAGGTAAACACTTAAACTTGTACCAAATGTAAAATCACGGTCGTAGAGAGAGGCTCCCAATCCAATTGCTTTGAGTGTGTGTGTGTGTGTGTGTGTGTTTAATTTCATATTATCATTAGAGTTAGCTAAAAATCACCACATGGAAGTCTTGGGTTAAGACGGGCTGAAATATAAAGAGAAAACATGGAAACAGATCCATGAAGCAGGGTCGAACTTTGGAGTTTGGAGGGTTTTACGCCACAGTGAACTAGTTTCCAACTCAAATGATCAAAATGTGGGGAAGACATGTCTAATAAACTTGTATTATTCATCTGACATAGAACATTATAGAACGGTGCACGCTTTATAATCGCTTGTATTGCTCCCTGCTTCCCAGTTGCTAGCAGCTCCAGGATTGCCTACGTACAAACCACGGTCTGCACATTGTGGCTGTGTTGGCTGTCACCACAGAGAACTAATTATAGCAAAAATGCATTTCTGGTCTTTGGTCTTTTGAGGCCACTCAGAAGATTTCAAACACACACAAAATGCCAAGTGATAACTAAAAAATGGGAAGATAGTTTAAATGAAAGATTAATAATCAATTCGTCTCAAAGAAGAGTTGTAGAGAAAGAAAAGCATCTTTGCCTTAAAAATATCTAAACACTACAAGATGCTGCCAATAAGATTTGTTTAATCTAGGTACTTTAAAGCGTCATTAGTAATGCTGGTCGATAGGAAGGAAACCGATTCTATTGGAATAAGGTTTCCGGGCTAAAATGCTTTGAAGAGCAAAGCTCCCCCAAGCTGTACAGGTCTGTCTCAATGGATATAACTCAACCCTAAGGGATTGGAATTCAAAAGAAGACCATTTTAAGGGATAAGCATGCATCAACTTAATAACGAATTCTTAGAAGAATGTATTTCTTCTCCCATTCTTCCCATAGTGGAAGTTATTCTGGAATTATGAATATGATGAGAGTTGAACTAGCCCAAAGGAAGAAGAAAAACATTAATGATTCCAGAAGTAAAATATCACATGTTTGAAGACTGTCTAGTCTACCGCGGCTCCCGGCCCTCTGCTGCAGACATCCGTCTGAAGCTGAGGAAAATGGACTCTTTGTCGCCACCTAGAGGTGTGCCGCGATGGTGAGCAAGATGGTTTCAAGTCCCTCTCTAGTTAGACTGCTGGAGAAAAATGTAATATTAGAGAGAAATAAAAATATGAATAAATGTGTAAACATCATATAGGTAACAGATGGTATCATTAAGCGGATTGTGGATGGAATATTGGAATTAGCCTCAAAAGATCTAGGGTCAAATATTGACTCATGTTCTACTCAGGTGGTAGCTGTTTTACTCTTGTTACATGAATGTTTTCCTGGGGTCTGAATCCCCCACTATGTACAATGGAGGACCACATCTCAAAGATCGCTGTGAGGGATAACTGTTCATGCCAGTGCTTGGTATATCTTTCGTACTAGACAAACAAATGCTCACTAACTGTAAATCATCACACACAAAAATGTGCCAAAATGGACTCACTGATTTACTAAAAATAGAAAACAAGTTGTGCATCAAGATAGCAATGTACTTTAAAATTCTCATACCCCAAACTCACTGCCATCCAGTCATTGCTGATTCATAACGACCCCCTGTGGGTTGCTGAGGCTGTAACTGTTTACAGGAGTAAAAAAGCCTGTCTTTCTCCTGCAAAGCTGCTGGTGGTTTTGAACAGCCAACTATGCAGTTCACAGCCCAATGCCAAACCACTACACCAGCAAGGGTCCTCACGTCGTTGAAAAAGACCAAAGGTGGGGAATACAGATAAAGTATTCTGAAGAAATGAAATCATAAAAAATGAAGAATCCAAAGCTTGCTTGTTTGGGTTATAAAGGGATGATGCCACCAGATGGTGAATGAAATGTTGAGGTCTAAAAGTAGTTGTTTACATGTGTTTTTGTTTGTTAATGTGGGTAACAAATTATCCTATATTTTGGACACCAATTAAGAATTTTCAGCTAGTAAAATAACAGGCCTACATTCAGACTCCCTAACTGACAATTTATAACAACGAGTCTGAATGAATTCACAGCCGTGTCCCGTTCTTGAAGTCCTGTCCCTGGAGGTAACATTCTTATCTGCAGTACGGACATCACTTGCATCTGGTCAGTGGTGGAAGGTAACCCCCCAATAATGGGAAGACATCACCGGAGGAATGACATCCATGTGATGCGTGCCTTAATGATACCATATTTAGACATTAAAAATAAGCCATCCCCTATAGAGCACCCCTCCAAAGGATGGAAGGCAGAGAGACATCAGCATCAAGCTTGACTGAAAAGTCAAAACCTGGCAATTCTCGATACCTCATCCACCATTTCTTCCTCTTTGTGACATGTCTAACTCGCTGCCAGCAACCCCAGAGGACAGGGCGGAACTGCCCTCACGAGTTTCCAAGAAGGTAACCCTTTGTGAGAGTAGAAAGGCCGGTAATTCTCCCTCAGAAAGGCTGGTGGTTTTGAACTGCTGACCTTGTGATGAGCGGCCGACCACATAGTCACTAACTAGCCAAAAATATTTCCATAAAAGAAGCTATTCTAAACCGATGTCAAGAGTATAACATCTTACTCTAAGGGCATAATCCGGAAAATAGTGAGCTTTTACTCAGGAAAGGCACTGATGATGGCCCTCCACATCTCTCACGGAGCAACTTGTCCACAGATAAAGGAACCCAAAGCAGGGCTCTTTACTAGTTTAGCTAATTATGCAGTGACATCGTCAAACTCAGCAGGACCTTTGATGAGCTATGTAGCCTAACCCCTAGTCATCAGGAGGCTTCAAAAAGGTGTGCTCTCCAAGGAAACAAGGTCATTCAGTCACAGAGTCACTTAGAGGGGCCCCCTCATGAGACCTTTCTCCCCCGGGTCCCCTGCTGATGTGTTGTGACCCAAATGCTGGTATATCTGCCACACAATTCCTTCTCAAATCATGAAAAAAAAAGAATTGATTTCTTGTATTTTCCTGGCATTAGAAACTGCGCTCCAAGTTTGTTGTTGTTTTTAATTCTGCAAAACCATTCAACCAAACCATTTGGCTCAAGCTTTTGTATTCCTACCAAATTAACTCAGAACATAATTTGATTAGAAAGCCACCTGACAGTCATTTCTCAATTAGAATATTTAAAGGATTAATTAACATTAATCAATGAGAACATCAAATTTTCACCTAAACTGATGAAGAATGTCTATATTCTTCTCATGTATACCACACGAAAAATGTCTACATATGTGCTGTATATAATACAAAGATCCCTGCCTTCATTATAGTGTGGTTGAGTTATATGGAATTCTACACTCAGTTTAAAATTCTGAGGGGGTTTCAAAAAGTTAATAGAGAAGTGGAATTAAAAGATAGTGGGATTGTCCCATGAACTTTGGAAAAGCCCCTCCTGTGTGTGTGTGTGTGCATGAGTGTGTAGTATCATGTAGGAAAATAAGGGGAGGGGGGAAACTCAATTGCTCGATTGGAGTGACAGAAAATATTTAGCACAGAAAATTACACAAGCCTCTTACTCATTTTGACTAAACTAAAGTATGTCTCCCTTTTCTTCTGTTCCGTAGTGAGAAAACCTTGAGTGGAAAACCTTGAGAGGTGCTCAGGAGAAAGAAGAAGAAACAGTGGGATTGCCATTTGCCCCTTCAACATCCAACCTCCATTACAACAACAGCATTAAGACATTAGTTGCTGTTTTTATGAAAAGACCATATGCAAACAAATTGGTAAGAGCTTCATTATTCGTTTCAACCAAGGTGACTTTGGCCTTCTGCAGGCTCCTAAAGTCGCCAATGTGAACGCCAAGCCTTGCAGCAAAGTTTAAAAATAACACACAACGAACGTATGATCAAAATAAGACCTGACATTTCCCCAGACCTGCACATTTAAGGATTAACGAGGGCTTCTTACCCAGATAATAGAGAACTCAGTGGCAATCGCATGACCTTTTGCACCAGGAGAAATAAACTTTGCCAAATCAAGTGCAGTCCCTGTTACCAAAGTATAGTGTTTTGCACTAACAAAGACATAACCCCCCGAGCTTCAGAGCGTACTGTTGAAATCTAAGGTACCTTTTGCTGCATAGCTACTCCAGGAGCCCAAGGTTGCCATGCCAATTGAAAAGGCTGCCTTATAGGATCCCTTACCTTCTCTTAGGCAGTCAGAACCAGGACGCCCATGTTGGGGAGGCCCACCACAGCCAAGCCCTCCTTGGCAGTTAGGGGGGAGCATTCCTTGAAGAGGAACTCATTGATCAATTTCAAAGACAGGCCGAACAAATCAGATGCCAGCCTAGTTAGGCAGTGTCCTAACTGTGACCAGGCTGGCGGAAAGAAGGAAAGAGCACAAGGGCTTGTTCTCAGCCTTGCCTCCTTGAATCTCAGGGGATTGGTGGGGAGGCAAGGTGGACTTCCTCTGCAGGGATGGCACCTCCGAACTGTCTGAGCCTTTAAAATGGGTGTTCCAGAGCCCCTGAAGATCTAATT